GAGAGGATTCTTTTTCCTAGAGCTTCAGAGGCTGCCAGATAGAGGGAGGATGTTGCAGGAGTGGTGGTTGGAAGGATGGAGGACAAAGGTTAATAGGTCATATGAAAGGAAAGAAAGGCCGAAAAGAAGGCAAAAAAAAAAAAAAAAAAGGAGACTTGGGGCAAATTGTCTGTGGGCAGAATAAAGACCGGGAGATGGAAAAACAAGGGAGACCCATATGAGATGGCTAGAATGGGGAAGAATGGCTTGAGATAAAGGCTAGCTTCTGAACTGGATTAGCTTAGGATGGGGAGAGGGGTTGTATGGCATTATAGTGTTAAATATACGTTCATTAATGCTGCACCTGTTTACACCATGGTAGCTTGTATAGACTTTGAGGAGTCTGGCTTAATTTTCTCTAATGGCCATATCTTTAGCTAGATATTGCCCCATCTTGACCATGTTTTGCACCATGCTGGGAGAGCATCACCTTTCAGTTGTGCACTACCTTTAACTACTGTTGGCATGCATCGACTGTCAGGTTCCCTCATTTGTAATGTCAAAAGTCCAGGGTTACTTTTCAGTCTGTTCCTGGTTTTATGGAATTTTTATTAGTCTAGATTATTTATATGAAATCGACTCAAGTATTTATATTTATTCATAATAAGCTATCACCAAAGATTATTTTCCATAAAGTAGAAACTCAAATCTAGTTCAGAACAAAACGCCTAGCACAGAGCCTTGCACATAGCAGTATTCAAGAAACAGTTGTTGCATAGATGAGTAAACAATGTTACTACTGATAAGGACATTCTGTTTGATTGGCAGTCACTGTACTTTTGAATTTACTCTGTGGGAGTAAAACATTCTAACTTGGTATAATCACTGAAGATGGCAGTGTATAGATTAATTATAGTTTACAATGACTATTTTTCATTGTATTAAATTATGTCATAAAGATCAGATAATTTCTTCAATAAAAAATTATCCAGAAAGCTATTTTTTATTGAATTTTGGGGGGTGTCAAGGCCATGGGATGAGGCATTTGGCCCTACTCTGTAAAAACTACATTGTCCCAGATCAAAGGTTTCAGTCCTTTTAAAGAAGTTATCATTTTACCCACAGCTCCACAAATAAATGTATTTGATAACATTGATAACAGAAGTTTCTTTACCAACTCATACTCATTTCTCCCAGGAATGCTTTCATCATCAAGGCAGAGGTTACTGTGTATTTCACATAGTTGTACAAAAAAAAATATTGTCTAAATGATGCACTGACAAAATAATGACAAGCATCTAAGAAAATGCAGATGCGTAAAATTACATGCACTTCTGTCCTCAAAGCTATTACCACTTTTGATTTAGTAGTTGAATCCAACGACTCAATAATTGAAATGACAGCTCCAAACCAAAAATAGATATTATACTTCTCATTTTAGACCCATGGAATTCAAATTCTCCAAATATAACGCTATTTATATGGAAAAGTTTTAGGTGGGTATTAGGTCACAAGGGAGGCATGAGTGAAGTAACACCATGCTGTTATTGTTTTTGGCATGTGAGCAAGAGTGGACATCAGGCACCTTGAAAAATCTACATGAAAAGCAAAATTTATCTTTAACCTTACTCCCTTTCCTTTCTCTATCCCTCTTCTGTTTTTGGCAGTCCTTCTTCTCCATTATTTATTTCCTTCATTTATTCATTCCATTCACTCACTCAGCAACTAATTGCTTTTCAAATAAGAGTAAAGCACTTTGCCAGTGGTGAAACAAAAATATGAAAAAAAGGGACCCTGATTGAGGCAGTTACTAATTTTGTTGTGAAGAGAAGTTATGTCCAAGCGTTAGCAGAGTACAAAGAAGAACATGATAAATGCCATTTAATGTATTTAAATGTAAGAGCTCACAGGACGTGATGTGCTCAAATTCTTTGCCAATTGAGATCTGCCTTCTCTTGAAGTACCCCTTCTTCTCAACCAGAGGTTTGTAACTGTTGCGTCACATGAGAATCATCTGCAGAGTTTTAAAAAGTCTTGATACTTGGGCCAAATCCAAGTCCGGTTAAAAAATATCTCTGGAGAATTGACCCAGATATTAGTACTTTTTAAATGGGCTATTCCCATGTGCAGCCTAGGTTGAGAGCCATTGTTCTAAATATCCCCTTTGCTTTTAAATATCATGTTACCTAAACTTTAATGTTCCTTTCCCACATTACCATGGAAAGAAGCAGAAAAAAAAAAATAACCTCAGGGACAATATTCACTTTTCTCATTTTCTTAACAACAACAAAAAGCCCCACAAATAAGCAAATGAATAAGTACAAAGCAACAACAACAAAACTGTTCTATCAGATAGGAAGTTAAAAACTACCAAAAAAAAAAAAAAAAAGAAAAAAAATGGAGAGATCCTGATAATCAGTGGTGGGAGTAGCAGTAAAGCAGCAAGCAAAGCATTTCTTGGCTTGTGGTATAGTTTGAGAGATTTGGGAAAGAAATGTAATCATTTGCAGAAGGTGAGATTGGGTAGGTTAAAACTATCTGGTTAGATGCAGAGGTCTTGGACAAAGGAAATGGAGCAGTAGTAGGAGGTTTGATTTATTTTCACAACAAACCTTAGTATTTATTCCAATAAATTTCACAATATTAGATCAGTGGCCAAATTATTATTTTTTAGGATTTGTAATAACAAAAAATAACAAAACAAAACAAAACACAAGTCATAAATTAGAACTCAGAATCTGACCCTTACTACGATGGGTGGGTGTGGGAGTTAGAGAAATACCACAAAGAGCCCCCAGTTTGGCCGCTGTTATGAAATTGTGAAATGTGTTGGCATAGATACAAAAGGTCTACTGAGTGAAACAACACTCAAGATTTAGAAGAGATTTATTTAGAAGTGTTCTGTTTATATCCAGTGCCTAAAAGCATCTTTTCCACGTTCTTCCTTCATATTATTGATAGTGAGGTAGATTAGAAAGTCTAGGGATAGAACAGACCCACTTCCCAACTCTGTTTCCTTTCTAAGTACCTGTGGGAACTTGGGTTATAGTTTAATTCACTGGGCTTCAGATTCTTTATCAGTGAACTGGGGATAATATCCGTTTCAGAAAGTTGTGGAAATTAAATAAAAAACAAAGAATTAAGTTGAAGCTCTTAGTAATTTCAAGGCTTTCCTCCTCTTTCATTTGCCTGTTGTTACTGCTGTAATCTCTAAGGCCATTCAAATTCTTGCAGATGTAGAGAAGGTACAAATTTTATATGACACAAATATGCTAATGGTAAAAGTAAGTTCTTGGGGTGGAGGAGGGGGCTGGATCTAACAAGTCTACATATGATAGAGTCTTCTGCCATGAATAAACTTGCTCAAATCATTGAGGGTAAATGGCTAAATATTTTCAATACTCTGTTTACTGATGGATGAAGTCTAACTATAGATTAAGGGTGGCAAACTCAAAGGCTAGCAAGGCCCTTGCAGACCTGATATTGGGGAAGGACTTTGGTAAACTGGAGAGTGAATGTATGCTCTCTTCAAGGGGCAGCCTCTCTTTATGTCCAGGTGTTTGTTGGCATGCAGGCATTCAGGCTCAGTTCCTGCCAGATTTGATTTTTCAAGAAAGTCAGATCCATATTCAATGTAAAATCTTCCAGTTTTTAAGTACTGATGACTAATTTCATTCTCTTTCAACATTAACTGGGCCAAACAAAACACATCTGAATATAATCAGCATGCTACCAGTTAGCAATCTTGGGATTTTGAAGGTTCTCTTTACTGGCAATGTCTTCTACTCTATGAGCACCAGAATAGCTGTTACCAACTCGCATGACGGTTTTACCCTACAGATTAGAAATACTCATACTCCTGCTTCCAGATGAGTGTTTCCTGTTGTTAGTGTTTCAATGCCCATAATTAATTTTACCTCCCAGGCAATTCTTATGCAAACAGCCACTTGTTCCAAAGTTAAAATCAATTATATTTCCTGTTACTTGCTAAGTGCATAGACTTAATTTTCTGCATGTTAATTTTAGCTTTATCTTTTTTTTTTTTTTAACACATCTAGTGGCTGGTTTCAATTCCCCAGGGCCCAGTTTTATTTTGTGCCAATTTAGGGAGGTAAAAGTTTAATCAACTTTAACATTTGTAAAGCTGAATATTTTATAAATATCTTGAAAGAACACAGTCTTCCATCCCACCTGTTATGGACTGAATTATATCCCTCCAAAATTCATATGGTGAGACACTAACCCCCACTGTGACTATATCGGGAGATAGGACCTTATAAGAAGCTAATTAAGGTTAAATTAAGTCACAAGCTTGGAGCTTGTAGGGCTGGTGTCCTTATAAGAGGAACAGATGCTAGGAGTGTGGGTGCACAGAGAAAAGGCCATGTGAGGAGACATTGTGAATGTGGCTATCTGCAAGCCAGGAAGAGACCTCTCGCCAGAAATCAACCCTGCTGGCATATTGATTTTGGACTTTCTGGCCTTTAGAACAATGGGAAAATAAATTTCTGTTGTTTAAGCCACCCAATCTATGGTATTCTGTTGTGACAGCCCTATCAAACTAATACATCACCTACAACTAGCCTGATATCTTTGGCATCTGATGTCTTTGGGTTTTTAGGCTTCTTAAAAATTCTAGGCATTCTCAGAGAAATTCCACTTTTAGACTCATTCTTCTCATCTGACTTCCCACTCAAGATATGGAAATTTCTGTATTTCCAACTAAAAGAGTCCCCATTGTGAGAAATATATCAAACTTTATATATAATGGCAGAATATAAACTATTAGTGACTCACCCATAAAATGTGAGATAAAGGAAACCAATCCTTTTCCCAAGTTTTAAAACTTCTCCTTGTTTGTCAGATGCTCCTGTGAGTCTCACTATGCCTACTTTCTTGAGGCTGGAGAGCCACTTGTATGCATGTTCATCATTTCTTAAGACATCTTCAAAATCCAAAGAAGGTAGCTGGAGCTCTGAGCCCCAGTACTGACATTCTGTAAATTAAAAAAAAAAAAAATGAAGAAATTAGATGGGATGATATTATTTTTACATACTGTGATGACCTCAGAGAAGGGACTGGTGTAGGCCTTTGATTTGTCATGGAATTTACTAAATTTTTATCATAGTACAAACGCCTAAGTTACCAAATTTTCTTCCCTGGAGCCACGCTAGTCTATTATACCTCCTGCTTACAACTGTGCCTAACCCACGATGGGTAATTTTTATACGACATTTATTGAGAGAATGTAGTTAAGTTTATGGATGGCCCTTGATCTGTATTCCCTTAGGGACTCTCTGCCTGGACACTGCTTAGAAATAACCCTGAGACACTACGTGTTTTAATGGCCAAATCATATTGTTCAAATCCAAGTAGATGATAGAATCAGAAGGTTGGACTGGAATATCATATGCCTATTCCTGGGGATAGGGAGAGTGTTTGCCATTGTAGGTACAGTTCCTTCTTTCTCTTATTTCAGCTATAAAGAAGCTTTCTATGGAGTCAAATTGATCTTTGGAATCAGCAAAAGCTTGCCATGGGGAAGAAAAGATGAAAGGTGTGGTTCTGGGGTGCATAGACCCCTTTGTGACAATGCCACATGAAATAAAGTCAAATGCTTTCCTTAGCTCTCTGGTTCCTCATGATTAAATGCTCATGAAAACGTTTACTTGCAAAAACAGAAAGGAAAACAAATGTAAAATAATTTGCTTGCAAACTAGGCTCTCTCGAAGGAGGTGGAACACAGAGGAAATGTAATTTTGCCAAGGAAAATAACTCAGATATTGACAACTACATTCAGGAAAGACCTAACTCTAGCTAATCCATCTGATTTCTTCTTCTTCTTCTTTTTTTTTTTTAGGAAAGAACTGGCCTTTAGAAGATAAACCTTCCTAAAAAGTGACAGAAGGAGAATTTATGAACTCAATATCATCTGAGCAATGCCTTACTTTTCTAACTGAGGAATATATGTCATGTTACAGAAAACCTTAACCACCTCCCACCTTCCCTTTTAAGAGTGAGAAATGAGTCAGTGTTGCCTTGTAGTAGTTGTAGACTGGAAATCATTTTCTCTGTTGTCAACGTGGCTGTTTTTTGCAGAAACAGGTATTTCTTAGGAGTCAGATAGTAGCTTTAGTAATGAAAAGACACATGCAGGTATAGGAAGTCACTTCCTGCCTTTATACCAGATAGTTGCATAAGGGCATTTGCGTAGTAGGTGTGTGTATGTGGGAAGACCTAATCAGACTATAAATGCATATGTTGCCAAAGTTTCTGGGTTATTAAGCATAACAGCTTGCATAATGAGGCAGAACCTCTGGGGCCTAAATTGTAAACTATAAATTAGGCCTCCCTTGTGGCTGCATTAATTCTTTTGAACTAATATTAATATTCTTTAGTACTGAATATATTACACAGGCCCAAGTTACTTATTGCATCTTCTCAAGAATTTGATCTTATATCCAGTTACTGATTCCTAATTTCTCATTTTAACTCCTCCTTCTCTTTCGGTCTAATGAAGAGATATCGGATCTTATCTTTTATCTAATGATCCTTCTAGGGTGCCAGCTACTCTTTTACATGCATAATGTTCCCCAGGTCTGTCCCTCATACCTCAACTCCTTCTTCTAAAATCAAACAAGGTTGGTTTTATATGAAAGAACCTCTTCTCAAAAAGGCAATCTATTGGGCTTTGTTTTGAATGTTGGTTTATATGGTCATTTGCTTTGCCATCCCTTTTGTTTTTGCATTTAAAGTTTCTAGATGGTAATATCTGATACCAATAGAAAAGTTCTGCAAAAACGAGGTGATGAATGTCATACATATTACTTATTTGGCTGCCTAATTAGAAAAGTCATTTGGCTACCAGTTAGGAGAAAAATTCCCTAGGCAAAACAACAGTATTAAGGATATAAATAACAAATCACCATCTCCTCTTTCTAAAGCTTACCTCTTAGGTAGACTATATCTAGAAACTTAAAAAAATATTTAAAACAGCTTTAAGCTTATTGACCCCAAATGAAAATTATAGTTCCATAGAGTATCAGAGGTAGATATGATGTTAGAGACTCATCTGGCATTTTCACATTGGCTTTATGACTTCCCATTGCCATTAGTTCTCACTATTGAGCAAAAAGATTATCTAAACCACAGTTGAGGGTTCTTCTAGTTCTTGGACACTATGATGATCTGGTTGAAGGCAGGTTTTTCTATTACCATGTAGACTGCTAGATTAGTATTTTCTACATGGCCCTCTGCAGCAAATGTGCTGTCTTTATTACGAAGAGTTAAATAATTGATGAACCTTTGTTGTAATATCTAGAAGAAAATCTTATGCCCTATTGAGAACAAACTAGCCCAGCCTAGAGAGTAAGTATGGTCTAGACTGCAGTATTGTCAAATAGAACTTCTGAGATGATGGGAATATTCTCTATCTGTACTCTCTAGTAGCATAGCTACAAGCAACAAATGGCTACTGAGACTTGACATGCGGCAAATGAAATTGAGAACTAAATTTTTCACTTTACTTAATATCAAATAATTTAAACTTAAATTTAAATAGCCACATGTGATGGTACTGTATGAGATAGGACATGAATAAAGAGTATGGAGGCAAAGAGACCTGGGTTTAAATCATTGTTTACCTCTTACCAGCTAGTTTTTTTTGGATCTTCTCTGAGCCTCTGTCACTTAATTTACAAAATAGCCATAATTATATTTACCTTGTAGGTCTTTTGTTGATTGTGAGATTGTACAAAGAGCCTAGTACAGTGTGTGGCACATAATAGACTAATAATAACAGTAATATTAATAATAGCTAATATTTGCTGAGTACTTTTTAGGTGTCAGGAAAGTGCTGGGTGTTTCTCATATATTATTTCGTTTAATGTCCACAAAAATGTAGGCAATAGATGCCTTAATTATTCCCATGTAGTAGAGAAGAGAGCAGAAATCCAAGACATGTAGCTAATGATTTGCAGAGCTAATAGTCAGTCAGATTCAGGTGACTGATTCCAAAGTCTGCAATTTTAACAACTACATATAAAATAAACATTTGATGCCTTGAAATACTGTCATCACATGTATTTTCATGTCCTGTGTCTGAATGTCCATAACTTATTCTGTTGCTTATGAAAGAAATCTACTAGATAAAAAAGAAAGCAGGGCAAGCTACAATTAGGAACACTTTGTCTGAACTTGTTCAAGCATGGATGTTTAAAGATAAGCTTTGGCTTCTAGTCAGGATTTTAAGTGCAGAAAAAACATTATGGGTAGGTTACATTGCACAACACTGCAACAACATTGCTATTCACCTTTTGTGACATGAACCGAGGCTTAAAAATCAGCTAGGTTCTTTAGTTTATGCCACTGTATTTCAGTGATCCATGTCAGTTTGGTTTTACTTAAGGCCATTATCACTTTCCAGAGAGTTTTGAAGACCGTGAAGCAAAGAAATATAATAAAGAGAGATTGAAAAAACATTTTCACTAGATGTAGATGTTTTTAAAACTTTGAGTTTGTATTTTGGATTCAAGAAGCATCTGCTTAGAGCACTATGTACATCTGTACACATCGATAGCATGTTTCAGTGGATTTTTGTTTCTGCATGAGTCACTTTCCCATTCTAGAATAGCACACATACAACAACATGCTCTCGAACACACATGCATACACATGCAATACCCTCTGTTTTAAAAATACAAAATGAGTTAGATTCTTTTAATAAATACGTTACAGTTTACATGTGTAAAATTAATCATATTCACACAAAGATACTCCAATATAAAACAAGGCTATCAATACCATAGACAGCATATTATGTACTATAAATAATTCAAATTTACTAGATTTTACTATCAGAGTGTGGTAGCAAAGATTTTTAAGTTCTGCAAAGTTTACAATTTTCCAATGATAGCTCTCATTTTGGTGTGCCGTGACAGGAGCTTTGCAGAAATTAGTGACCAAGAGCCGTAGCTGATTGCAGAACATGAGTCACTTTGATACTGTTATGTTAAGTATGACTTTCAGAGAAAGTACTGTGACTAACCAGTTTCAAATTTATCAAAACATCTAAAATATAAAACACTCACATTTTCATGAACAATAAACTACATTTTATAAAATCTACCAGTAAAGTAATTCTATGATACCTACACAGAAACCTTACCATTGAAAATGTAATTTATAAATATTTTCCAGTCTTTTTCAACTGGAAAACATGACTACTGGGGACCCAAAAGAGAACACATTTGACTAGAGTAAATCATTTGTCAGACAAATACATGAAAAGCAAATTTAAATATCACACTTGGTCTGAATATATAAACAGTATGGAATATGACGGAATATTTAAGGCATGAACCACTCTGTCTAATTTAACTTACAGCCCTTCTAATAAATACTTCCTTGAACATGTGCTTCACACATCATAAAGTTTAGGAACAGGCTACATATTCACTTTCAAGGAACCATTTGTACCAGATTTCCTTCTCGGGGTTAAGCAACACATTCCTGGGTCCTAAATTGTATTTCAAAAAAGGAAAAGACCCAAAGAAGCTCTTTAGTTCAAGATTCATGAGTGCAGCATGATCAGTTGCAATGTGTTATTTCAAGAGTTTAGGACTTTCTGTCCACCTGCACTGAACTGTGCTGTTGGCTCTGAAATAGCTAATCTGATGTTCTGGGTACTAGCCAGTCTCTTACTATCTTTTCCCACAAATACCTTGTAGGACTCTAGCCAAAACCAAAATCTGACCCTTAGTATAGGAAAGTACCTGAGTGAACATATGGCTTTTATTCTCTTATCTGTGCTATGGGGATCCTGCCCTCTTTGGATGTTCTTTTACTTCTCGTCTAGTGAATTCTACATGCCTCTCAAGATTCTGGTCACTTGTCCTCTCTTAAATTGAGATCTGACCCTGAGATGGGGATTTGTTTATTAAGGAGGTGTCCTGAGAGCACTAATAGGAGATGGGGAAGTAAGACAGGGAAGGTATTTTATAACGAATGGGTTACCGCTTTTGGTAATAGGGGCTCAACACTGCTGGATCTCATGGCAACACTGTAGAATACACTTCAGAGTTGTCCCACTGAGGGTCAAAGAAGCTGAGGTGCACAGGCCACCCATGCCTACTTCTCACTGGCTGAGGGCTGCTCCTCTGGGCATTCACTCATGGGTCTTTCTGGCTTTCCATGTGTGCGGGCCAAGCATACTCTCTCAGACAGAGAAAGCCCTCCAGCAGAGTGGCAATCCTACAACAAAAAGTATGTATGGGAGGAACCTTTAAGTATGGGAAGAGTGCTGAGGGGCTCCGGTGGGGCACCAACAGCCTCTACAATGTCCTCTTTCAGTATCTGCAAGAGTGGGTTAGATAGCTGTCTTCTCTGGTTCCACAGACGGGATACACACCACAGTCACAGTGCTTGCCACATTACGATGCAATGATCTTTCACTTATTCAACAAATATTTGTTGAAAGCCTTGCTAAACAAAAGAATAAAAATAAATGTGATAGCTGCCCTTGTGAGGGAAACAGTGAATAAACTAGGAAGCAAAAAAAAAAAAAAATCCCACATAAAAGTAAACATTGTAGTAAGTGCTATGGGGGTAACAGCTGGGGCATATAGACAGTTATTGGCAGGTGAATGTGGAACCTATTTAGACTTGGCAGTTATGAAAGGTCTAGCTGAAGAGATATTAAGTTAAATCCTGAGGGGTGAGAGAAGCCAGTCATGCAAAGGGCAGGAAGAAAGATGTCCAGTGGGAGGGACAGTAGGAAGATGGGGAATTTCTTAGCTTTTTGGAAGAACTGAAACTCATTGAGGCTAGAATGAATGAAACTACAGGAGTGTGTAGCAGATGAAGTAGAAAAGTAAGCAAGGATATGTCAAGTAGGATCTTATCTCTGTCTCTTCCACTAGACTCTAAGTTCCTTATAAACTATGGAGATCATATCGTTTATCTTTAGTTCCTCATCACTGTTGCCCCTTTTTCTCCTTCCCCCTTGTATATAGCCCAGGTTGGCACCCGGTAGATTTTCAGAAAACCAATATTTTCTGTATCTTGAATAAATTTTTGCTTATTTCTTAAAGATGACTAGAGACCAAAAGCAATCCTTGAAAAATGAGATTGTATCTGAGCACACTTTAGTTTTTTAAAAGATGAAGGAAATCATAAGATCTTTTCTTTTTCTTTTTTTTAAACCATCATTAATTTAATCCATAACAATTAGAACAAGAAGGTCATTTCATTCTGATAAAATTTTCCACTTTTACATCCACTTTTACATGCCAGTACCATGGGCTATTTTTTTTATTGTTTTTAAAGAACTTTTCTTTAGGAAATATTCCTACCAAACTCAGAAAGTCTTATTTACAATTACAAAAGATGATTCTAAACAGGTTTAAGTTGCTCGAAAGGAGAAAAACATATTTTTTGGGGGGGGAGGGGACTATTAGGTATCCTGTGTATTCTGTATGCTCAGCCCTGTGACAAGAGTAACAATCTAACTGAAGAAAATAAGAACACGTGAAACAATGAAGTGACACTAAATGGCAGTGTGTGATAAATACTTGAAAAAAAATGAAAGCTAACATTTATTGAGCACTTATGATTTCAGGCACACTTCTAAGCACTTTATATGGATTAATTAATGTAATCCTCATAACAACCCCATAACAGAGGTTCTATTATTGTTCTCGTTTTATAGATGAGGAGATAGGCATGAGGATATTAGAGAATTTGCCCAACAATATACAACTAATACATGCCAGAGCTGGGATACCCACACAGACAATTTGACTCCAGATATTCAGAAAAAAAAAAAATGCTGTATGTTGAAGGAGAAAACAAGCACACACACACACAAAAAAAATCAGGAAAAGAATTATTATTCCGGATTTCCTTGGAGTTGGCAAGGCAAACGGATAATTCAGTTTTATCATCCGTCCTTGTTGTGACTATCCCCTATGACATACATGAAAAGGTTATAGAACACCCTCTTGATCACTTTTAATTACACAGCATACATTTCCCTATGGAGCGGCCCATACTTTTTAAGAGGGTAATATCTTTACCCTCCAATTCTTGCCAACCGGACAGTTTCAATTGTCACAAACTTATTCCTTATCCTGAGGCACAATCGACCTTTGTCACTTTTCTTTTAAGCCTTAATTCTGCTCACCAGAATCACACAGAATATGGTAATCTTGGAGATGTATACAAAGACAGCCAGTGTGCCAAATTTTTCCTTCCAAGATTAAATGGCTTCTTTCTTCCCCATATTTTTCATGTTTTATGTCTCCCAACCCCTGCTCTCCTTTGGATGATGTGTTCAAGTTTGCTGATGTCCTATGAAAGCACTGGTGTCTCGAATCAGACACAGTACTCTAAGTGGTTTGGCACATAACTGTATAGTGGGCTCGCTACTAATTAATTATTATTATTATTTTTTTGGCAATCTCAACTCTGAACTCATATTAACTTTTCAGTCACCAAAACAGGTAAGAATTTCCTGTCAGCCAAGTGTTCTTTACTAAAGCTAGTTCATTGAGAATGTACTAAGCATATACAGAGATGAGGATGCAGGTCCAATCTGATAATATCTAAGTTAATAATTTAAGGTTTAAAGGTGACAGCTCTGAGGATTCAAATCTGAACTCTGATACTTCCCATCTACATAACCTTCAGAAAGTGACACATTTTCTTAGTTCAATTTCTGGAAATTATAGGATGAAAACAACCTGTAGGGTGGTTGTAAAATTTAAATAAGATGATATTTATAAGGAGCTCACTGTAGTGTACTTGATTAAATCTGCACTTGAGCATGACTGGAGGAAAACACACTGTGATGACTAATCTTATTTCATGCCCACCAATCTCCAGTTAACTCTCATACTCCCCTACCTGACTATTGCTCATGTTTTCTATCATCAAACCTCCCATTACACAATGTGGTTTCACAGGTGAAGAACTTTCTTGACATGCTACACTCTTTTACTTTCTCTCCCAACAAATCTAACAATTATTTTTTTGAAAAATTTATATGCATCCATTGTTATATTACAGCCTTGTATTTTAGTGTCACCAGTGAAATTATCTCTATTTCCTGGGCTTACTTTCCTATCAGTTTTTTATGGCTTGGATCAGGAATGAATATAAATATATAGGATAGAATTGTTGGTAAAGGGCTTTGCTGGGATGTGAATTAGACCTTGCAGGATAAATAGGTGAAGTTTGGCCAAACAGAAAGAATGGAATAAGTGATCTCTGGGAAACAGGCAGAGCTTGGATAAAAGTAGGAATTCACATGCTTGTGGAGGGGCCACCAGACTATGGGATGATTGGAAAGCTCCAGTGAAAACATTGGACTTTATTTTGCCACAGCGAGACACAGCAAGGAGGAAGAGAGATGATGGTGGGCATCAAAAAAATTACCCTACAGAGTTGTGAAAGCTGGGTGTGAACACAGAGGCGATG